AATCCTCCCCTCTTCTGCAGGCTGGGCTGAGTCCTCTTGTCTTTGCTTCATGCTTTAGTGTCTGTCTCAGCCTTACACTGCCTGATTTCCCAAGCAGACGCTAAGCAAGGCTGTCCTACCCTCTCTGCAGTCCCCCACCAGCTGATTCTAGATGGTCCCTCAGGACAGAGACGCTAGTTCTCCTGAATGGAGGTCAGGTTCTTTCTCACGTCTCCATCACCCTTCTACTCCAGAACTTCCAGACTCTGGGTCCAGGGCCCATTTTCTCTGTGTCCGCTGGTTTGGGCTTCTTGTCCCAGTGCCCAGCTGGGCAAGAATGAGAGATGGAGAAGAGGACAGCTAATGGGAAAGGAGACATGGCTAGAGGCTTGGCCTTGGGGAATTGGATCCAGGTCGTGTGTCTTGTAGGTATGTATGCATATGGTTATGTATCCCCGAGTGTGCGTGCGTGCGTGTGTGTGTGTGTGTGTGTGTGTGTAGCATAGGGTATGAGTGTCCCTGTGTTTTTTCCTTTACTAAAGGGTTTATGCATAAGTCAGTGTGCATGTTATCATCTGTGTGTCCATGAAAGTCAAAGTCTGTGTATGTTTGAGGGTCTCTATGTTGGCAAATGTGTTGCCTGTCCACGCGCCTGAGTGCCTCTGTGTATGTTCCCGTGTACCTGCATCCTAGTGGGTGCATGTATGCACGGTGGCATATTGTGAATATACGAGTGCCTCTGTGTGTTGCGTATAGACAGAGGCAGAACAGTGTCTAGTTGAAAGCATATGCTCCCAATTCAGGCTACCTGGGTTTCAGCCCTGAACCCAGCGTTTAAAAGCAAATAGGCCCCGGGGAGTGTAATTAACTTCTTTAAGCCTTGGTTTACTCACTTCTACACTGGGGGTAATAATAATGCCTGCCTGAAATATCTAATGTGAGGCTGGAATGCTATAATGCCCGTAACACACTGAGAATAATGTCTGGTGCACAGGACATGCTAAAAATGTTGGCTGTTACTAAATTATTTGTGGCAATACATGTGAAAGTGACTGGGCTAGCAGTCCCAGGTGAGGGTGTCTGTGTGCAGAAATGGGTCTCTGGGCACACAAGGTTGATGTGCACACCTGTTAGCATGTATATCTCCGTGCAGGTGTGCAAGCCTGCGTCTCAGCATCACTGGGTATGGTGCCTGACTGTGATCTGCCTGGGAGTCTGTCTGTGTGTCTGTGTTCCACCAGGTTTGAACCTCTCAGGGCAGGGACTGTGCTTCATCATTTTACTCAGGCCCTTGGACCTGGGACATAACAAGTTGCTCAGCAGATTAGAGTTGATTGAAAGAATGAAGTCGATCGGTCATGCATAGATTGTTACTCATGTAGCGCACCCATTTGTGGAAAACAAAAAGCTATAACTAACTAGCTAGGTGATAAGTAGATAGAGAGAGAAAGACAAAATAGGAGACAGATGGTAGAAAGATAGATGATAGACAGATAGATAGATGATAGATAGATAGATAGATAGATAGATAGATAGATAGATAGATAGATGGATAAATGGATGGATGGATAGATAGATGATAGATAGATTAGATAGATAGATAGATAGATAGATAGATAGATAGATAGATAGATAGATAGATAGATAATTGATAGATAGATAGATGATAGATGGATAGATGGATGGATGGATAGATAGATGGATGGATAGATGGATGGATGGATAGATAGATGGATGGATAGATGGATGGATGGATGGATGGATGGATGGATGGATGGATGGATGGAGAGATAGATGATAGATAATAGATATAGATAGATGATAGATAGATAGATAGATAGATAGATAGATAGATAGATAATTGATAGATAGATACGTAGACACATATATAGATGATAGATAGATAGATACATAGATACATAGATACATATATAGATGATAGATAGATTAGATAGATAGATAGATAGATAGATAGATAGATAGATAGATAGATAGACAGATAGATAGATTATAGATAGACATCCAGGTTTGGCTTTAGTTAGGTAGAATCCCAGGTACTTGAAACTGGAAGAGACATTCGAGGCCATACGTCCCAGGGAACCCCAAAACTCTGCCCGTGGCAACCTGTGGGTTATCGTGGAGTTCCTTTGAGGGCCTGAGGGGGAGGGAATCATGGAATTGGAGAGCTAAGACATCGACAAGATTTGCTTTGCTTTTAATCTCTACTTATTGGATATTTATGAAGGACTATTTTGAAAAAAGGGTTTCACTATAAATGTTTGCGAATCTTGTTCTCGCCCGGCCCTGAGCATCAGAGAAGGGAAACGGCGGAGACCCCCTGACCTCTCCTTCGGGTCCCCTGCCCGTGCACACCCTCCGTGGAACGGAGCAGCTCTGAGTCCTAACTCACTGGGAAATGGGAAGCATCCCTCCCAGGAACCTCTGTATCTTAAAGAAGCACATGATGGTGGCCCTTTGGGCTGCCGGCCCTCAGGCCAGACCGGCCGGCTTTGTCTGCGTGAGATGAGCCCACGCACCGGCCTCAGGTGACTGGACCAGGGGAAGCACTTGGACTCAAGCAGGAAATCAGCCCCAGCCCCGGTGCAGTTTGGATGTGGGGCACCAAGATGCCAGGTAGCCCCTGTGGCCCCTGAGCCAACGAGCAATGAGAACNATGTGGGGCACCAAGATGCCAGGCAGCCCCTGTGGCCCCTGAGCCAACGAGCAATGAGAACCTGCAATGCCCATGTTTAATCAAGTGATGGTGACTAAACAGGAAAAGCTAGTCTCAGAGGGGCGGGGAAACAAAGGGGCACACAAGATAAGCAGAGATGAAGGTGTGTGGTTTCAGAAAAAGCAACAGGGGGAAAGACAGACAAACCTGGGTTTCTAGGGGGCTGCCTCGTGCAGCCAGGGGTAGCTTCTGTCCCGGGACTTAGTGCTCCCGCATCTTGTAATTATTCACGTTTTGCCTGAGTTAATTGGAGTGTGTTTCTGTTGCTTGAAACCACGCCATCTCTGCGCAAGGCTTCAGGCTGGAAAGTCTCCTCCCTCACCCTGCCCTCCACCCCTCGGCCGGCCCCGACCTGTTCATTTTCTCTGAGGCCTACGTGGAGGGGCCCGCAGACAGCTGTGGAAGGGATGCTCTGTGAGGGCGCATTAGAGGTTTCCAGAAGGGGCTTCACCCACCTCCAGGCTCTGTTGCTACACCCCCCTGGCAGAACTGATGCTCATTTCTTCTGAGATGCCCGGCTGAGCACTTTGGGGAAGGGTGTGGGGAGTGGGGGGGCACCACTATGTACAGATGGCGCTTTGCTCTGGGGTGACAGTTTCTCTAGCATCCAGTCCCAGGGTAGGAGCTTGTGCAATTCGAGGCTCATCAGAGCAGGTCTGCGGGGCAGGGGAGCAGCAGGGACCAGGCTTTCCTGGAGCTGGGTCTCCCAAAGTGCCCCTTTACAACACATTCCCGTGGCGATGGTTGAGCCCACGATGGAAACAGCCAGGTGTGGGTGAAAGCAAGGGTCAGTTTGTTGAAATCACCAGCAGTCAGAACAGGGGTGGCGTGTGGGAGGGGCCTGTTCCAGGA